AAAAAAAAAAAAAAAAAAAAAAAAAAGACTGTAATAAACCCTTGGCTGAAAAAGTTTATAATGGTAACTTCTGTAATGTAAACTAAAAAGTAAAAAGAGTTAAAAAATAAAAAAAGAAAATGTCAATGAACCCGAAACAGAATAAACATGAAGTGGAAAACCACATGAAATCAATCACTATATTATTTAGAAAATATGCCTATGTGGTAAAACAATCAACAGCAAAGGTGAAATTAACCAAAATACAGGATAGTCATTACCTCTGGGGAGAAAGATGGGAGACTCAGAGGCTTTCAATGTCTTAGTAAGTCTTTCTCTCCATAAAGAGTTATCCCTGCAGATTAAAGAAGGATTTACTTTTGTTATTAGTCTTTAAATGGAATAGATGGAAAATATTCTTTGCATGACCACAACAAATGGAAAACATATTAATGAAGTTCAGCCATTCTTCTTGTTTTACTTATAATAACAAAAGCTGGAAACCTGGGAGTAACCCTTGACCACGCCCTCACAGACCAAGTCCAATAAATTATCATTTCTGATCACGCCTATAATGCCAGCACTTTGAGAAGCCAAGGCAGGCAGATACCTTGAGGCCAGGAATTCGAGACCAGCTTGACCATGATGGTGAAACCCCATCTCCACTAAAAATGCAAACATTAGCCAGGCGTAGTGGCTCATGCCTGCAATCCCAGCTACTCGGGAGGCTGAGGCAGGAGAATTGCTTGAACCTGGAAGTGGAGGTTGCTGTGAGCCGAGATTGCACCATTGCACTTTAGTCTGGGCAACAAGCCGAGACTCCATCCAAACAAAATCCAAAAAGCATCACTTTCTATTCTTCCTCACCCAAAGCACCAAACCCTGGCCCCAGCCACCTTGATTCTCATCAGAAACCTAAATCCCTTCCCTCTTCCTTAACACCCTGTTCTAATCCAATCTCTCTAATCCAAATCCACTTTAAAACATGATGGACTTTGTCTCTCTTCAACTTTAATCTCTCTCACCACTCTCCTGTTCTATCAGAAGCAACAGAGACAATTGCCCAAGGCCAGCAGGACATGGCAGAGGCAGGATTCAAAATCTACTAGTCTTGACAGTCCACGTGTCTCATCTACCCACTATCCCACCTTGGGTGATCCCAGAAAAGGGGCAGCCACTGCCCTAACACAGGGTGATCTCGGACAGACCGTTTCTCCTCCCGTCCCCACCTCACCTCCTTCATCAGCCTAACTCCTAGTTATCCCTAATTCTCAGCCCCAACCCCACTTTCTAGGAAAGGCCTTCCTACCCCTTGTCCTAGTCCAGCAACTCCCACAATTTGATGGCCAGTGCTTGGTACAGCTCTCAAAACATTCCTCTGCCGCTAGATTGTGCCCTCCACGAGGACAGAGGTCTGTTTTGCCCACCCTTGGGCACTCTGCTTCCTCTCCAGACACATTTCTCCTGAATGTGGGCCCAGATTGGTGGCCCAAGTCTGCAATCCTAGCAGTACTGGAGGATCACTTGAACCCAGGAGATCAAGACCAGCATGGGTACCATAGGGAGATCTTGCCTCTCAAAAACATTAAAAATGAGCTGCATGTAATGTAGATACATGGGAGGCCAATGTGGGAGGATCGCTGGAGCCTGGGAGGTGTGGCGTGATTGTACCGCTGCACTCCAGCCGGGGTGACACAGCCAGACCCTGTCTCAAAAACATAAATTAGTAATAAAAACCAGGAAGAAAAAAAGTGATGGGGGCATATGTGAACTGGAGAAATACTTTCTAAGTCAGCCCGAGGCTATCAAAACATCAGAGCCCCACTCGAGAGGCTACAGTTCTGGGTGTGCCCAGGGCCCATGGAAAACAGACTCGCCCCAGGCTCCATCTACCTGTGCAAGGGAACAGGGATCAACCTCAAGTGCACAAGCCGCTCTGGAAGATGCAGCCCAGGCCTGGGTGGCCCAGGGCACTGGACTCTACCCACCTACATCATCCAAACATCAGTGCGAGTGCACCCACGAAAACACACAATCACACACAACATGTGAGCAATGGGCAAGACTGGTGTGGCCCCGCTCAGTGTTGTCACCATTGGCCCCACAGGGGCTCACAGCCCTGGAGCTCTGGGCCCAGATTCCTGCCAGTCCCACCTGTTCAGGCCAAGACCAGATGACGGAGCAAGGGGGTGCCAGGGCAGCAAGGCCCCCACGTGCCCCTTTCCCGCATGGCCCAGGCTCCCGGCATCAGGACGCTAAACCCAGGCCCTGGCCCAAGCTGTGTGCCTCCAGCTTCCCCTCCTCTCGGCACCAAAACAGAGCCTGGCCCCAGCTCCCAGGAAATACAGAAATCAATGGGTGAATGAATGAGTGACAGGGTGTCTTTGTGATATTGTGCTGGCCTAGAGCCAGAACCTGAGCAACACTATTTTATAAAATGCAAAACTGTTTTTTAAATAAGTTGAAATGGCTGCCCCATTCTCCTCACAATAACTACTGTCCTTGGCCTCTGTAAATAGAACTGCCAGTTTGTTCTGCAAAACTATGTAAAGCTACTTACCTTTTCTTATCAGTAACTGCTAAAATCTGTGACTTCTATCACCACCCAGACGATGTGTAAACAAATGTATATCTTGACTTCTGTAAACCACTGAAGTAACAAACAGAATGACAAAAATCCCCTAGCCCTTGGAATGTCCGGAGACCCCCTCCCTTGTCTCCACCCAGGAGGTGAATCACAGAATCCCCAATGTCCAAAACCTTTTCATCCCCATCCCTGCCCCCACCCCCACTCCCAAAGTGGTTTTTCGGGTATAAAAAATCATGGCGCCCTCCTTTTGACACCACAGGTTGGAGAGACGTGAGTCATCTGTGGTCGCCGGCATAATAAATGACCCTGCAATCTGGCATACTTTTGTCTTGTGCTAACTCTCTATGCTTGATCCAATATAACATCTTGTTCTACACAAAACAATGAGCAGGGGTGGGGGGCGGGCTCCTGGCTGCAGGAGGAACAGCACACTCACTCAGATGGCATCTGCATCCAACAGCCCACCCTTCCCTGGGGGACACCTGGTCCCACCCTGAGCCGCCTGTTTCAGGACCCCAGCCTAGCCCAGCCCAGCCACACCCTGCCACTCCCTTCAGACAGTGTGGCTTCAATTAAGAGGCTGGGTGGGGTCAAGGTGGCAACAAGGGGAGGGCCCCCTGACACTTCTCCAGGATTTAAACCCAGGCGGCCTGGAGTGCAGCTCCTACTCCATACCCAGTATTCCTGCCTCACCGCTCGCCTGCTACTCCAGACATGCAGGGACCCTGGGTGCTGCTGCTGCTGCTGGGCCTGAGGCTGCAGCTCTCCCTGGGCATCATCCCAGGTAATGGGGCTCTCCCTGCTGCCCCTACACACAGGGCACCCCCAAGTCCAGGCTGACCTGATCTTTGCTCTCCCCTTGGCCAGCTGAGGAGGAGAACCCGGACTTTTGGAACCGTCAGGCAGCCAAGGCCCTGGATGCCGCCAAGAAGCTGCAGCCCACACAGACAGCTGCCAAGAACCTCATCCTCTTCCTGGGCGACGGTGAGTGAGCAAGGCTGTCCAGCCCGCAGCCCTCGCAGCCCCGGCACCCGGTCCGTCGTTGGTGGTTCCAGGACAGCCCTGGGGCCCAAGCCTCACACATTTCTGCTCCTTCAGGGATGGGGGTGTCTACGGTGACAGCCGCCAGGATCCTAAAGGGGCAGAAGAAGGGCAAACTGGGGCCAGAGACGCCCCTGGCCATGGACCGCTTCCCATACGTGGCTCTGTCCAAGGTGAGGGCTGGGCCACCTCGGAGTCCTCCAAGCAGAGAAGAGGAATCCTGGCTATGGAGGGCGGGAGGAGGGAGGGACCCTAAACTGCTGGGGCTGGAGTAAGAGCTGGAGGCAGCTGCAATCCCAGAGGACAGAGATCATGGTCTGGATCTGGGTGTCTGCCCCAGAGAAGAGCCCAGAGTGTCTCTGTCCCCAGACATACAGCGTAGACATGCATGTGACAGACAGCGCAGCCACAGCCACGGCCTACCTGTGCGGGGTCAAGGGCAACTTCCAGACCATCGGCTTGAGCGCAGCCGCCCGCTTTAACCAGTGCAACACGACCCGCGGCAATGAGGTCGTCTCCGTGATGAACCGGGCCAAGAAGGCAGGTGAGTTGGGGCCCATTGTGGGGTCAGGGACAGACCTCTGTCGCATATCCTGACCTCTGTCACCCTCAGGGAAGTCCGTGGGTGTGGTGACCACCACACGGGTGCAGCACGCCTCGCCAGCTGGTGCCTACGCACACACGGTGAACCGCAACTGGTACTCGGACTCTAACATGCCTTTCTCCGTCCGCCGGGAGGGCTGCCGGGACATCGCCATGCAGCTCATCTCCAACATGGACATTGACGTGAGACCCCAAGGCCAGGGGCTGGGGCTGGGCAGTCAGTTGGGGACACCAGCTCAGACCCAGGCAACCAGCAGCCTGATCAGGCCAGCAGGGTCTGGAGGTGGGGTTAGGGGTGTATAAGGTGCAGCCAGGCCAGACCCTTTCCACAGCCCTGGGGAGGAGAGCCAGGGGCTGTGCATGAGGAGGGGGCAGGGGGCCAGCCAGACCCCAAACCCACCTGTCCCATCCTCTGTCCCCAGGTGATCCTTGGTGGAGGCCGAAAGTACATGTTTCCCACGGGGACCCCAGACCCTGAGTACCCAAGTGATGCCAGCCAGAATGGAATCAGGCTGGACGGGAAGAACCTTGTGCAGGAATGGCTGTCAAAGCACCAGGTGATGGGGGCTGGTGGGTGAGGGGGGCACAGCAGGGGGAGTGCAGGGGTGTGGGGCTCAGGGCTGTGGGCTCAGGCCTGGCTGTGTCCCTGCAGGGTGCCCGGTATGTGTGGAACAGCACTGAGCTCATGCAGGCTTCCCTGGACCCGTCTGTGACCCACCTCATGGGTAATGACCCCCTTTCTGCCCTGGCACCCCTCGTATGGCCTCAGATGGCATCTTCCAAGCCTGTGTGCAGGTCTGCCAGCACCCTCCCACCCCCAGCCTGCCAGTCACCATGGGACCCCTTGTCCCACAGGTCTCTTTGAGCCCGGAGACATGAAATATGAGATCCACCGAGACCCCACACGAGACCCCTCCCTGATGGAGATGACGGAGGCCGCCCTACGCCTGCTGAGCAGGAACCCCCGAGGATTCTTCCTCTTTGTCGAGGGTGTGTGATGGCCCCTGGCGAGTGGGAGTAGGGGGTTGGAGCAGGGCAGTTTCAAGCATCACCCCCCTCTGGCCTTCCTGCAGGCGGCCGCATCGACCATGGTCATCATGAAAGCAGGGCTTACCGGGCACTGACTGAGACGATCATGTTCGATGACACCATTGAGAGGGCGGGCCAGCTCACCAGCGAGGAGGACACGCTGGCCCTCGTCACCGCTGACCACTCCCACGTCTTCTCCTTTGGTGGCTACCCCCTGCGAGGGAGCTCCATCTATGGTAGGCCTGGGCAGAGAGGCAGGTACTGCTCCATAAATTATGTGTCTGAGCCTCCATTTCCTCCTCTATGAAATGGGCATGTTACATGGAGATTTTGGGTGCTGCAAAAGAAGTAGCACTCGAATATAAATTTCTTAGCAAGGCAATTCTATAGAAGGGCGTGTCTCACAGATGGAGCAATCCTGAGCACACAGGATCACAGGTGGTGAAGGGGTTCTTATCCCTGATGCAGGTAGCCCCCACTTCGTTCCCTGTTGGCTATGGTTTGAGGCAACAGTCCAAGCTAATTCCAACTGGCTATTTTATTTATTTATTTATTTTTTTATTTTTTTTGTCTTTTTGTTTTTTTCCTTTTTGTGGAGAATGGGGTCTCGCTATATTGCCCAGGCTGGTCTCGAACTCCTGGGCTTAAGCTATCCTCCCGCCTCTGCCTCCCTAAGAGCTGGGATTACAGGCGTGAGCCACAGCGCCCCGCGGGACTGGCTATTTTAAAAGGAGCAGGAGTAGGAGCCAGAGTGGCTGAGTGAGCAGTTTGTCCATAATGCCAGTTACAAAACGGGTAACTAAAGGTGAGTCAGGTCAAAGCAGGTGATCAGGGTGAGTCAGGATAGAGCAGATGACCGGGGAAACAGATGTGAGCTGCTGATTAGAACTGGTGGGAAAGGTTGTTTACTAAAACTAGGAAGAAGTTCAACTTTAGAATGGACAAAGAACTGAACTGAATATTTGAAGAGAAATTTAGAGCTAATTTTACCCAACAGGCATAATGCTGGCACCTGCCCTGTAGGGTCTCAAGAATTAAGCCCCTGAACAGCCAAAAGGTGGCAGTGCCTAACACAAGGGAGGCACTCCCACAGCTGTGTTCAGCTCAACCACGGGACCCCTCTCTCTGCAGGGCTGGCCCCCGGCAAGGCCCGGGACGGGAAGGCCTACACGGCTCTCCTATATGGAAACGGTCCCGGCTATGTGCTCAAAGGCGGCGCCCGGCCGGATGTTACCGAGAGCCAGAGCGGTGAGTGCCACGGGGTGGCCTCTCAGGGGGACCAGGGCGCCAAGGATGGGGGACTGGCAGGAGGGGTCTCCTCCTGTCTGCCTGGAACTGAACCCTCCTACCGGAACTGAACCCTCCTACAGGGAGCCCTGAGTACCGGCAGCAGTCAGCAGTGCCCCTGGACGGAGAGACCCACGCAGGCGAGGACGTGGCGGTGTTTGCGCGCGGCCCGCAGGCGCACCTGGTGCATGGCGTGCAGGAGCAGAGCTTCATAGCGCACGTCATGGCCTTCGCCGCCTGCCTGGAGCCCTACGAGGACTGCGACCTGACGCCCCTGGCTGGGACCACCAACGCTGCGCATCTGAGTCGGGCCGTGGTCCTTGAGGTGCTGCTTCTGTGGGCTGGGATCCTGCTGCTACTGGGGACAGCCGCTGCTCGCTGAGTGCCCTGTCCCTGGGGCTCCTGCTTCCCCATCCCGGAGTTCTGCTCCAGATGTCCTGCCACGGAACTTCACCTCCCCGTGCGCCCTGGGGACTGAGTCCATGACACCATGCCTTTGCTCTAGCTTGCCTTCAAATTTCGACCCCAACAACAGGGACTGGGGATTTGTGCCTGGCAGCTGCCTGCAACCCAGGAAAAGAGGCTCAGACTACCCAGCCTCTGCCCATATCCCAGACAGGCTCCCTCCTCAGGGACACGAGGCACCCAGATATAGGCCCCTGTGCCTTTCTTAGCTTCAGTCATGGCAGCACCTGAGGGACATGAGGACGTGGGAGCATCAGGATGCCTGGAAAAGCGGCTTCCTGCAACCCATCCCGCCAGCCAACGAGGCTGCTGTGGCCGGGATTCCCAGGGAGTCTTTGACACAATCACCTGCTGTCCCTCCACTGGGCTAATTCTACATCCCTGCGCCCCTTCTAGGGGCCCATGAGGCAGAGAGGCTTGCCCCAAGTCACACCCACTCTGATGCTCAAAGCCCCCTAAGGTCAATTTCGGCACCCAGCTGAGATCCGAGGAGCAGCTGGGAAGCTCTGGGTGCAGGGCAGCAGCCCAGTGTCCATGGCCCGCCCCAGGCCATCTGGGCACTGGGCTTAGATTTCTCAACAAAGAAGACTCTTACCTCCCGTCCCCGGACCTCCATTCTTCTGGAAAACAAAGCAATAATAAAAGGAAGTGTTAGACAATGCAGTGCCAGTACCACTTCCTAGGAGAAAAATGAGTGCCTGTGGGCACAGTGTCTGGAGGGGTGGATAACGCAGGCCAGGAGGGGCTGCTGAGGAGCAGATGGTTGAGCAAGAGACCTGAACAGAGTTGGGGCTTCAGCAAGGCGGCACAGCAGCGCAAAGGCCCTGGGGCAGCACCAGCAGCCAGTAGCTGGATCAGAGAGTGGGTAGAGGGGGGAAAGCCTGCGGGGTCAAGAGCGGGGGGCATAGGGGACCGTGAAGTCTGAGTGGAGGGGTGTGGTTGGAGGTCTTTGAGGGGGCTGTGGCCCGCCCTGGTTGGGAAATGAGCACTCTGGCTGCTGCCAGGAGAAGGGTCTGGTCTTTTGAGCGGAGGGTGTGGGTGGTAGAGGGCAGAGGTGAGAGCTGGTGAAGGAGCAGACGCTGGTGTTTCTGACCTCCCTCCGAAAGCATTCTGGAGCACCCATCCCGGTATACCCACCCTTAGTACCACACCTGCCCCAAGAGAACACTGAAAGAATAAAGGTGAAATCAGCCACATTTTCCGGCAAACTTTACACTATTACACATTTATTTGTACATTTACAATGGTATAAAAAGAACTTTGTCAACATGGTGAAACCCTGTCTCTACAAAAACTACAAAAATTAGCCAAGCTCGGTTGCCCATGCCTGTGGTCCCAGCAACTCAGGAGGCTGAGATGGGAGGATCGTCTGGGCCCTGGGAAGGTGGGGGCTGCAGGGAGGTACGATCACGTCACTGCATTCCAACCAGGGTGACAGCAAGATCCTGTCTCAAGAAAAAAACAAAGAAGATTTGTGTGCTCACTAGAAATAACTAGAATGATTGTATGCTTCTTTATGAAAATTGAATTAACATTGTAAGACGTCTATTTACCAGGCATGGTGGTTGCATGCTTGCAACCCCAGCACTTTGGGAGAAAGAGGGGTTAGGATTGCTTGAGTTCAGGAGTTCTAGACCATCCTGGGCAAAATGGTGAGACCTTACCTCTACACAACATTTTTGTTTAGTTTTGTGGCGGAGTCTTACTCTGTCTCCCAGGCTGGAGTGCAGTGGCAGGATCTAGGCTCACTGAAAACTCCACCACCTAGATTCAAATGAATCTCCTGTCTCAGCCTCCCATGTAGCTGGGATTACAGGCACCTACCACCATACCAGGCAAATTTTTTGAATTTTTCATAGAGATATAGTTTCACTATGTTGGCCAGGCTGGTCTCGAACTCCTGACCTTAAGTGATTTGCCTGCCTTGACCTCAGAAAGTGGTGGAATTACAGGCGTGAGCCACCATGCTCAGCCCCCAAAATTTTTAAAAATTAGCCATGTCAGGTGGCACAGGCCTTTCATCCCAACTACCTGGGAGGCTGAGGTGGGAGGATCACCTGAGCTCAGGGTAATGAAGGCTGCAGTGAGTTGAGATTTCGCCACTGCACTTCAGCCTGGGTGACAGAGCAAGACCCTGTCTCAAAACAAAACATGTATTTGAGAACCTGGGTTTCAGGACAGTTTTATCAATTCTGGGTTTCAGTGGTTGTTAACAAAAATAGGAGAGGTGAACAGGGATGGACTCCATTAGCTGGCCTTACTAAATAATCACACTCAGCTGTTTCATTCCATCCACCAAATATGCAAAAGGTTTTGGTGAAATCCAGCTACTATCTTTCCAGTTGTTCGTTAGTTCCTCTTTATTTATTTATTTATTTATTTTTTGAGATGGAGTTTCACTCATGTTACCCAGGCTGGAGTGCAATGGCGCGATCTCGGCTCACCGCAACCTCCGCCTCCTGGGTTCAGGCAATTCTCCTGCCTCAGCCTCCTGAGTAGCTGGGATTACAGGCACGTGCCACCATGCCCAGCTAATTTTTTGTATTTTTGGTAGAGACGGGGTTTCACCATGTTGACCAGGATGGTCTCGATCTCTTGACCTCGTGATCCACCCGCCTCGGCCTCCCAAAGTGCTGGGATTACAGGCTTGAGCCACCGCGCCCGGCCTTAGTTCCTCTTTCTAACCAACTGGTAGGTGCTGTATGATCATATTTCACATGAGCGCTCACATCCAAGGACTTCTGTTTTTTTAAAAACTGGACTAGTTTTAAAATAGATTGTTCTGGAATTAGATCATTCTGTTCTCCAGTTTTTTGTTTTTTGTTTTCCTCATGTGTAAGTATAAGGGCTCATCACTCCATCACATTATTGACCACAAAATCAAGAATCACAAAATTATTTTCAAACTTCTATTAAAAAATGTGCCCTTTCCTTAGCATGAGTTTTCATTGAAAGATAATTACCTTCTCATTTTTTCATTGAAATGACATTTTTACCTGAAGGACACACAGAAAGTATATTTATATTTTCAATCTTCTCATGGTGTGCCTAAATAGAGAGTTTTTCAGTTCAAAGTCAGCAAATTGGACTGTAAGAAGGAGGGAGGGGGAGTTAGGAAGAACGAGGGAGAACTCAGGACACGTGGGCTCAGTACTTTGTCATTCTGTGACTCATCCTATGTGGCTGGAAAGCTTCCACGGTTGCATCCAATCCCCTTACCAAGTATCTTAAAGTTTCTATTTATGTTTTTTTTTTCTTATATGGAGTCTCGCTCCGTCGCCCTGGCTGGAGTGCAGTGGGAATTCTGGTGCCTCAGACTCCTGAGTAGCTGGGATTACAGGCGCATGCCACCACGCCTGGTTAGTTTTTGTATTTTTGGTATAGACAAGGTTTCACCACATTGGCCAGGCTGGAAGTTTAAGTTTCTATTCTGTGGCAATCTAAGCTTTACAAAATCAACCCCACTGCCTTCTGCAACACCCCATTTATGCACCAGGGTTCTTTCCTGTGCTGATTAGATGGGGGTGAGCCAATGACTGAGTGGTAAGGATGAGCCTACCACTGCACCCTGATTCATATCCTGAAAAAGCTTTTTTTTTTTTTTTTTTTTTTTTTTTTTTTTTGAAATGGAGTTTTTGCTCATGTTGCCCAGGCTGGAGTGTAATGGTGTGATCTCAGCTTACCGTAACCTCCGCCTCCTAGGTTCAAGCTACTCTCCTGACTCAGCCTCCTGAGTTGCTAGGATTACAGGCATGCACCACCACACCTGGCTAATTTTATGTATTTTTAGTAGAGAAAGGGTTTCTCCATGTTGGTCAGGCTGGTCTTGAACTCCTGACCTCAAGTGATCCGTCTCCTCAGCCTCCCAAAGTGCTGGGAGGAACCAGCACGCTTGGCCTGAAAAAACTGAGCAGCTGTTCCACCGTTTCCTATGGCATTGTTTTTATTTAAAAAGGCACTTCCTGTTGGCAATAGATATTCTCTGCTATATCTTCTCTTTAGTGGCAGAAAGTGGGTGTGTGTATTTCATTATTGGAACAGCACCTGGCAAATACCTTCAGCTGAGCCACACTGGGAACATCTGCGCTTTCAGCCCACTGCAGAGCAAACCTCCCAAACCGGGTAATTTGCTCTAACACAAGTTTCTTCCAATCTTCGGCAGTGTTTTCTCTACATCTTCCAAGGTGTTTGCTGACAAAGAAATGCCTTTCGGTTTGTCGGCAGATCATTTACTGCCCCTTGTTTCTGCCATGTTTCCTGCAGCAGAAAGGGTAAGTGTCTGCTTGGTGGTAGGTGTTTTTAGTCTCACGCTATCATGCAAAAACTTTAAAAGAGCTTTCCAAATATTTGTCATCGCATATGGAAATATCAAGAATTACTGGGTACTTCTTGCACTCTTTCTTCGGTCTGAAAGCTTAGTTTGGCCAGGTAATCCCAGCACTTTGGGAGGCCAAGACTGGTAGATCACCTGAGGTCGGGAGTTCAAGACCAGCCTAGCCAACATGGTGAAACCTTGTCTCTACTAAAAATACAGAAGTTAGCCAGGTATGGTGGTGCATCCCTGTAGTCCTGGCTACTTGGGAGGCTGAAGAGGGAGCATCACTTGAACCCAGGAGATGGAGGTTCCAGTAAACCAAGATCCTGCCACTGCACTCCAGCCTGGGTGACAAAGTGAGACTCCATCTCAAAAAAAAAAAAAAGGCTTAGTTTTAGACACCTTGCCAACCATGAGGATTTCACACTGCTCCTAAGTAATTTTTTAGTAATACCTCCAGGAACAAGGTACCAGGGGCAAACTTCAGCAGTAATCACAGAGTGGGGGAAATTCAGAGTTTTGTTTGCTAACTTTTTATATTAGGGGCTAACGTCTGGTAAGGTGTGTACCCCAGGTGACGTGCGCTCTGCCAGGAATAATAAGGAATTCTCAGCTCTCCCTTCTGCTATGGTTCACCTGCTCTGGATTTCTGGTGTTAGCGGAAGATTCTTTACAGGAATCATGTGTGAGCTTCTTGGCCCTTTCGGAGGATGAGGTCGGTTAAAACTAGATCATATAATCCGTGGATCCACTAAACTCGAATACTCTGCAATTCATTGAAAGCATGCAATCCGGAGGGTGTAGTGTGTCAACCCCTGGCCTGAGGCACCCAGCTCCCTTCCTCCCGGGTGTCGGGGAACCACATGGGGTGGGCGCCTGCATGAAGTGTGAAGGCGCCAGCTGCATATTAAACATGAGCTCTTGGGGCGCCCACGGCCCAGGGCTGTGCTGAGGCATGGGGTGAGACCAGAAAACTCTAGGCATTCAGGAGGGCCTGATGTCCCTTAACCAAACCCCAAGGTCCAGGTTAGTCTTGAGGTGCTTGCGGCCTGGGCAGGCCATTCAGGCTGAGCAACTCCTTGTGAGCAGGGGCGTCTCACTCCCTGCAAAATTCAGACCCCAGATGGCACCACAAGTTCAGCCCCCACCAGATCCCAGGCCCCCTCCCCATGAAGCCCCCATTAGCCCCTGCACGGTTCTGGTGACTGGCACAGGAAGCCTCATGATTGGGGAAGAGAAGCATGCTCCCTGCAGCCTCCCAGGAGGATTGAAGGGGGATCCCAGCTGTGCCCTTCTGGCCTGGGTGCTGACGTGGCATCTCATGATGCCCTGGTCCCACTGGTT